TCCTGCCTCAGCCTCCCAAGTGCTGGGATTACAGGCAGGCGCCACCACACCCAGCCCTTAAAATATAACTTAAAGAGAAAAAAATATATGGAAGAGAGATGGCCAAGTCTGCTCTGGGGCCAAGGGACTGAGTGTGGCCCAGGTGGTCTCACTGCACAGGCCGCGCTAACCGAGAGCCGGCAGCAGCCCCTGGGGTGAAAGCGGGGCGCCTGGGGCAGCGCCTTCCCCTGGCTCTGCTCCCCCACTGACACAGCCTGTCACCGCCCCGCCCTTCCTGCCGTCACTTACCTGAGAGCTCCTTGAAGGCTGGTTCACTGGAAAAGTACAACTCAAATGTGTGTACCTAACCACTTCCCAGTCCAGCTAGGCCAAAGATTGCACGTTTCGTTAGTTTTTTATAAGATAATGGGACATGTAAAAATGACGATTTTATCAAAATTGTTCAATTTTTCTGTGCACGGTATATCTTAAAATGTTCAATACACAACGCAATGTTATCCTTATGAACCGGTCAGTAGTATCTAGTTTTTTTCCAAATTCTTTGTGTTGACTTTCTCTGAACAATACTTTACATTGTCCTGTGGGCCGTTCCTGTTTTCCGGCGGGTGCAGTAACTTCAGTAAACTGTCCTCCCACTACGCGCAATGGTGACGACGCCAGTGAAGGGGAATCCTGTTTTCAATTATTTGGTCCATCAGACCTAATCTAAACTAAATGACTTTTCGAACCCCCCTCCCTGTTAAGAATAAATAAATGAGCTCCACATTGTTTATTCCAGAAAGTACATAAATATTTTATAATTTTTTCCCCCACGTTTTGATTTCAGGATAGCTTATGAGATGTGGGTCACCTCTGTCAGCACCACCCATACAGTTGTGGTAATCATTGACCACTACTGGAACTTTTTTTTAGCCTCGTTTCTTCGAAGTTCCATCATTTCTGTATTACGCGTAATGACGGTAAAGAGACACCTTTTTGTGTCTTCATTCCACCACACAGACTTTTCTTCTCTGTTACGGCAGCATCTCTCCCTTTTCGGTTTTTTCTTTTGCAGATCTCCTGGCATTTCCTTCTTATTCAGTCTCAGTGCCCCTAAATGTGTCTGATTTGTATTGTAAAAGAACAGCATTGAGTGCTGGAGAAGTACAAAAACTATATCTAGCCGGGCTTGGCACACACCTGTAATCCCAGCACTCGGGAGGCTGAGGCAGGAGGATCGTTGCGAGTTTGAGACCAGCCTGGGCTACAAAGTGAGCTCTAGGCCAGCCTGAACTGCATAGCGAGACCCTGTCTCAGAAAGACAAAAATAAAACTATATCTAATGTACTTACGATTAGAGTTTTTATAGCGTGTAGCACAAAATGATAGGTTATTTTTCACAAATACACACGAATTAGTGAAAGAAGAAACCAGAACTTTTATTAGATTTCACTAGAAACAAACATCAAAGGCAAATACAATGTTCTAAATAAAAAAGTATGTAAAAGTAGTCGATATAAAACAGACATACGAGTGTATTTCGTGCAAACAAGAATCCAAGTGGTCGAAATGCCACCTGCTCCAGCGACCCTGGGAGAGTCAGTAAGTACACAAACTCTCTGTCCAGTGACCTGCAGGGGAAACTGTTAATAGTGTGAAGGAGATCTTAACAAGCCGCTATCATTTGCCCTGTCTAGCAAGGGATGATAAAAGTGAAAATAAAAACCCAGTGAATCCAGGCAATGTAGTTGGATTACAGTAAAAGATAAACCCCCCAATAGCCGAAAATTAAATTCCCAAAGCAAAGAACAATACTTTCGATGGCTGCTTATGCAGTAATGTCCATGGTCATCGCTAGACCGATAATCTTTAACTTTATGCCTGAGAAACCTCATTTCTGTTGCTTAGCTGTGTGTCACTGGGGAACAAATGCAGGTCATAGGCGGCTGGGGGCCAACTTGGGCAATTTAGTAGGACCCTGTCTTTTTTTTTTTTTTTTTTTTTTCTTCAAGACAAAGTGTTGCTATGTAGTTCAGGCTGGCCTTGTACCCACTCTGTAGCCCAGGCTGGCCTCAAAGTCGCAGCAATCCTGTCTCAGCCTCCTGAGTGCTAGTAAAACCGTTTTAAAATAAAATTAGGAAGGGCCAGGGATACAGCTCGGGGCTTTCTGTTCTGAGTGGGGGGTGGTAGAGAAGTTCTCGTGCCGTGGGACTGTATAGGTCTGGCCCCTAACAAACCCCACTCCAGCACGGAGGTCTAGGAGGGCCTAGGAGATCCTTTCTCCTTTTTTGTCTGTTTTACCTGTTACTTTTTTGAAACCTGGAAATCCAGAGCCTGTGCATTCATCCTCTAGCAGCACTAAAAATATCTACTACATCAAAAATACTCTGTTGAGCCAGGTGTGGTGGTACACACCTGTAACCCCCAGCACTCAGGAGGCTGAGGCAGGAAGATGGCCTAGAGTTTGAGGCCGGCCTGGGCTACATAATGAGACCCTACCTTAAAGACACAGAACTCTGTTACTTAGTGAGGGCTTGCGCACAGTTTTGTTTTTCAAGTAGTTCAGGCTGGCACTGAACTCGCTAGGCAGCCCGCCCAGGCTGGCCTGGCCTTCCCGGGTGACCCTCCCGTCCAGTTTCCGGAGTGCTCGGGTTACAGGTGTGCACCACCACCCCTGGCCAGATTGCCAAGTTGGAGCCCAACCTGGGCATTTTAGCAAAATCCTGTTTTCAAAAACGGTTAAGGATTTAGCTTAGTGTGAAGGTCTTGGACTCGATCCCCAGGACTGCAAAATTAAAGTAAAATAAAGCACACTTTCAAAATGATGGCTTCAAATGTACTGTTGCCCAGCGAGACGAGAATGAGGGCGGGGGTGCAGGGACAGTGTGTGCGGGCCCCCACAGGCAGCCTCGGCCTGCGACCCCCGTCCCTCTGTCCCACATACGCGGCCCCTCAGCCCGCGGCCTGACTTCTCTGTCCCCCAGCCAGGCTGCTGCTCAGAACCTGCGCGCGTGTTCCCGGGGCGCTGGGGCGATAATGGGACGCTTGGGGGCCGTCCGCACCCCAGCTTCGCACCTGCACAGCCTGGTTGCTCAGGATAAAGTCAGATGGCTCGGGCGGCAGTCTGCGTGGTGGGACCTTTACCCTCCGAGGCACTTTCTCACCTCCCCTTTTAACTCTGCCAGAGGCCTCCACGCAGAACTGCAGGTTCAGGGTTTCCAGAGTTGTTCTTACACTGCTTTTATTTGAGACAAGGGGTGCTGACCTTCTGTGTAAGGCAGTAACATCAGATTTCCTCTGTAAGGAAGCTGATCTAAGAACTTGACTTTTTTTTTTTGAGAACCTTAACACCAGTTAAAACCAGGTGGTGGTAGGTATGGTGGTGCCTGCCTGTAATCCTAGCACTCTGGGAAGCTGAGGCAGGAGGATCAAAAATTTGAGTCCAGCCTGGGCAGCTTAGCAAAACTATTTTAGAAGGGGGTTTGTGTGTGTGTGTGTGTGTGTGAAACCAACCAGAAAACTCCAGGTGACTGCAAGGTCAGACTGTATTTTAAGAGGGTCCCAGAACTGGATGCAGATCCGCAGGCTGCTTGGGCCCGTGGGTTTGGTGGGGGCTGTGGATGCGGCCGTAGCAGCAGTGGGGTTCCCCTCGGCTGCCTCCCGGCCGGCTCAGCACCGCTAGGCAGGACAGCCGTGCCCGGGCCCCGCGGGCTGGGGCCGGGCCAGCGGGGAACTCACGGCCACCTGCACGTGTCCACCGAGCTGAGGCTCTCCAGCGTGCCCGGTGGGGTCTGTGGGTACCCTGCTGCGGGCGGCTCCTCTTCCTCCAGCCTTAGGGACTTTTGAAGAAGAGCAATTTACCCCCTGAAAACAGTATTTGTAGGTGAGAAGTTATGACAGAGACAGAACCTAAAATTAAAGCTTTTCTGCCCCAAGGGGCTCTATCTTCCACCCTCCACTAAGGGGCAGCGGCGGGGGCAGCTTCGCTTTCCCTGGCCCAGGCCACCGTGCGCTGCACGCTCCGTGACCAACTGCACAAGCACCGGGCCTGGAGACCCCGTCACACACATCTGCTGTCCTGCCCTCGCGGCCCGCCGGGGTCGAAGGCCTGGGCTCCCCAAGGGGCTTTCCAGGCTCGTTCATACAGTCTAAGTCTGGCTCTTGGCAGGCCTGCGGCCCTCCTCTCACGTCCGAAATCTGAGCATCAGCAGGAGAAGATGTGAACCTGGAGAGGAGGGAAAGCCAGCCAGGCCCCAACGTCCAGAGGTGACCTCACCGAACGCGAGGCCCACCCGCGGCGCAGGCTCCATCTGTCCTCCCCCTACCGCTTCACGAGGCGCCTTCGCTCTCACCCCGAATCCACCGAGGACCTCGCCCCGGCCGCGTTCCGCGCCATTGCCCTGCGCGTGGGCGCTGTGGCCCCACGCCTGTGGTCCGCGGATGCCGGCCGCTAACACCCGACGCCTTCGGGACTCCCTCATCCTCTGCACATGATCGGTGGCGAGGGGCACCGTCACTCTGACCCCGAGGGCCGGGCGCAGTCATCGCCGGCAGTGCAAGGCAGGGCAGCCCAGCTCAGAGCCGGGGGGAAAGCTGGAGCAGGCCGGCAGGGCTTCGGTGACAGCGCCCCTGCGGCTTGGCTCAAGGTGCACACACTCCTGCCGCGGGACAGGGAGCCGGGTCAGCAGCGGGCTGCGGGAGCTGACGGCCCGGACCAAGCTGCTAGTTGGGGCGGACTCAAAGACCCTGCAGTGGAAGATGCTTAGGAAATAGAGCTGTTACTACGGAAGGGCCGGGCAAAAATCAAAACCACTGAAAAAAAAATTTTAAAATCAAACACTTTATTTCCACGTAACAAGCGCAAAAAAACCTCTCAAACACTTTAACAATACAATGAACGCAATTATGAAGTCATTATATACTACTCAAAGCCCCAAGGTCATCAGCTTAACGTTAGATCCAAACATCTCCAGACGTGGTTTTTCAAAGCTACCTTTGGTTTTTGGAAAAACCAGTATGGAAGTCAATATACACTGAATGCACTGAACAACACTTGTTTATAGGAAGGTGTCCAACAACACGAGCTCGCGCCTCGCAAGCTGCAGCGGGGTTTGAAGCCATACACCGAAATACAGACACAGGTTCCCGCCCCGCCGCCCTGCGGGAGGGCCGGGGCCTGCCGGGGAGCAGAAGGCCAGTCCGGGCCGCGGCGGTCCCCGCTGTGTGACAGAGGTATGAGAGTTTAACACTAGAACACCGTCAAGTCATTAAGCTTCACGTCCACACGGTCTCCTGCTGAGGCTTGAGACGGGCACAGATGGTGGGGGAGATGAAGTCACAGAGCTTCCGAGCAACAAGATCCCACAGCTGCTCAGAGGGCGGGAAGGAGCGAGCTACAGTTTCCCATTGTTCTCACATTACTGCAGGGCGGAACTGGGACGAGTTCGGATACAATGTTCAGATATTTGCTTAGATTTGTAATCAGCTGCTCTGTGAGAACTCTCATACAGAGCAACTCAGAGACTTTCAGTATAAAAAAGAGCCTACAAATAAATTCACAAAAAAGAGACGATTAATGTTGAGCAGCGAAAAAGTCATGGTTTATTATATCTGAAGAAAAGTTCATAATTCAAACACAACCAAACTGTACATGTTACAATCACATTCTATTTGTAAACAGTTAAAAGCCACTGACTTCTTTTGCATCTTAGGACACAAACAGTTAGAATCAAGGCAATGAAACGATGGCAAATTGTGTACGGTTAAAATTTTTACCCTTGTTTAGTCTCTCTTCTTTGACTAAGCAAGCATTATAATACCATTTGTGGGCAACGAAAGGGGGGGAGGAAAGAAATTTAAAAATGGTGTAACTCGTTAGTTTGCAACAACATTTAAAATTTTCTTTATACAACAAACAACTCTGTAAGCCCAATACCTTGGTTACAGTATGCATAGTTACTGATTTCGGCTTTTAAGGTACAACAGTTAAACATGAACAGAGTCACAAGAGCAGAAACATACAGAGCCACTTGATGGGGTTACAAAAAATCACCTATTGATTATTAGCAAACCATCATCACTCACTAATAAAAGACAGCATCTGAAAGCAGAATGTCAAACTCCAGCTTGAAGCATTTTTTTTTCTAGTTTTTTTTGTGGCAGAGAAAATTCTTTAACAGAGCAATACGTAGTATCAGTGCTAAAAGTTGGGGGTTTCTTCTTTTCCTATAAGAAACTACAAGGATTTTTTTTTTTTAAACTGGGGAACTGGTTTTCCTGAGAACCATGCTCTTTGATTTAGGACAAGAATAGAAAAACGAAAGAACATGGCCAAACGCTGCTCCTTTTCCCAGAGATAGAAAGCATCTTTTAAATCATCCTCCATTTTTTTTTGTCTTTTAAATTTTTTTTAAATGATGGAAGAGTAAACATTTTTTTTTTCTCAAAAAACAAACAAAAAAATCTGTAAACAAGAAGGTTCGACACGGGAACCTCCAAAACAAAATGGAAAAAGCCTATTCAAAGTGCAGGGCCCGCCCTGGGTGGCAGGTGGGCTGCAAGTCACAGCTGTGGCCACAGTTTCTCAAACTGCAGAGCGAAATTCTTTAGTTTTCTAACATGAAAAACTGGTGCAATACTTTCATTCTAACCCTAAGTCAGCATTCTCACGTGATCCTCCAACTCCAGACACCACGTAAAGGTAGGCAACATCAAGGCGCAGCAGGGCGCGCACCCGGAGGGCTTCCTGGAGTAAACACTTCGCCGGAACAGCTGCCCCGAGCCGCGGTCAGCCGGAGAACCCCGTTCAGTGCAAAGGTAAAAGCTCAGACGCTGCCAGCCCGCAAGGGTTTCGCGAACACGGGGGAGAGGAGAGCGAGCGCGGGGGCGAGACGTGGCGGGCGCGCGCACTCTGCGGCCTGCGTGTATGGCGCCACTCGGAGTGCGGAGACCTTTCACATTATAGCATTGGCCTGCATGATTCAAGTATTCGAACTGATATGTGGGCGGGGGTGCGGCGCGGCTCCGCAGGCGGCCCTGCCGCAGGCGCTGCCGGGCGGAGGTCGGCGTCACAGCGACTCCCCGCCCCCGCCCAGGTGCTCCACCGACAGGAACGCGTTCAGCGGCGACGGGCTGCCGATGCCGCGGGGGTCGCCGCCGCTCGGGGGGCCCCACAGGCTTGTGGAGTAGTGCGGGGCGCCCCAGAGCGACGCGCCGTGGAGCTCTCCGCAGTTCGTCCCCGACAGCCCAGCACCATTCCAGTGGTTGAGATCGGCCCGGCTGGAGAAGGAGTGCGAGCAGTCGAGCGCGCCCAGCCGGCCCTGGCCGGCCCCGAGCGACTGCCAGCCCGGGGACGGGGCCAGGGACTGGCTCTGTGCAAAGAAGCGGCTGATCTCCTCTTCGCTGGCGAACTCGGCGAGGATCGTAGTGTTCCCCAGGACGCACCTAGGCGGGAGGCGCGGGCGTCAGGCGCGGCGCGGGGAGGGCGCGCGGGCACCGGCCGGGCGCGGGAGCCCGTACTCACATGTGCAGGGACTTCTGCGCCTTCACCACCTCCTCCTTGGAGCTGTAGCGGACCAGGGCGTTCCCGTGCGGGAGGTTCAGGTGGAATGTTATCAGCGGGCCGTGCTGCATGCACAGGGTGCGCAGGGTGGAGCCATCGATCTGCGGGGCGGGCCGGGTCAGGCGGGCTGAGGGCCGCGCTGCGGCTGGCTCCCTGCGCACCCACAGGACTG